ACGTTAAGGTCTTTGGATTCTGTACATTAACACTTCACCACTTATGTGTACACCTGTAACTCTTATTTTTAATCAGGATCTGGCATTGTAGGAGATGTAGTCAACAACATCTGGAATGCCGAAGAATGACGAATATCCTTGGTCTAAAGGTTGAATGAAAACCAAATCCTTGGAGAAATATCTCAAAATCTATTGGAGATCTTTCAGTAGATTGGAGGCCACAATAGAAGAACAGAAGGAACGGCTTCAGATTAATATTAACAATTATTGAAAGATGCTTGATAAACATGCACGCAATGGCCACAGAGTGTATTAGTGTATTCATTACTTTTTATAACTCTAGTCTTTCCTCGAAAAATATACGATATTTATCATATGTCTACTGCTGAGCCAACCCTGCTGAGGTAGTAGCATTTGAACATTCTACCCAAGGTTATACACAGTAATGAAGAAAAGATCATCGTTAACAGAAAACGGATCTCATTCAATGCTATCTTTTAAAAACAAAAAGAAGCAAAAATAGAAAAAAACAAAAAAAAAAAACAAATACCAGCTGATTTGCAGCCAGCTTGATATTTTCTTTTCCTGTTTCAATCTCATTTCCTGTGTAATTAATAGATGCATGCATTATATTTGTAATCAAATCTGCATAATTGGAGGCTCCCTCTACAGTTGTGCGCATTGATAACAATCGAGGTTCTGGCAAATGATAAAAAGAGAAAACAGGTCATTTTTTTTTATTATTAGTATAAACAGAGGGGTTTATTTACTAAACAGTGAATTGTAATGGAATTAAAATGAAAATTGCAAGACATACTACAAAATAACTACAAAGGGATAAAATAAACCTCTCTAGTTTTGCTTTTACAAATTGATCATTTTGTCCTACATTTACCGTTCAATTTTCAAAACAACGCAACTCACTGTTTAGTAAAAAAAAAAAGCTCAATGAATATGGCAAATAAGTGCTAATTTAGAATTTTAAAGATAGCTCCCATATCGAAGTAGTGATAGCCAGAGAGACTTTCTAATCAAGCACCTAATACGTTTTTCTTTGCCACCTGGTAAATGTGTTTCATTTAAATTGCCTTTTCTTTACAGCTGTACACAAGAACAATTATTTGTTCCAAAAGTTTCTGCAAACACCTTGCAAATTAATTCTCTATGTGAACTTATTTTTCCCCTAGACAATATCTTTAGAAACAATAATATAAAGATGTCTTCTGTATGTTCTTTTTCTTCTTTTTAATAATCTGCTTTTTAATGAGAGCTGCAAAGGTGTGTTTTCTCAAATGTTTTGTAATAATCACCTGGAGTTTTGGTTTATTTAGCTATTTCTGCAGGTGAAACAATAAGTGTAACTTTATGGCTGTTACATTATATTAAAGGGACACAATAGGCACCCAGACCCCTTCAGCTCTTTGAAGTGGTCTGAGTACACTGTCCATATTGCACTTAGTTCCTGAGAAACTGCAATGTCTACACTGCAGCACTAAGTCTGCCTTCAGTGGCTGTATACCAGACAGCCACTAGAGGGCTTCCTAGATTGAAACAGATCTTTGGTCCGGTATCTGATGCTGGATGTCTCCATGCTCTGTCCCCTTTAGTTAGGCCTAATGCGCGCGGCACTCGTTGGACATGTGCATTAGTGGCCGCTTGTCAAGGGAAGTTGAAGGAGGCGTAGTTGCGATTCAGTACAGAGGGACATTGACTGATTAACCCTTTATTTACCACAATGTGAGGGCGCGAGGGAGGGGGAAGGCAGAGAGAACTACAGTGCCAGGAGTACAGCTTTATATTCCTGGTACTATAGTATTCCTCTAAAGGGATACTTTAAGCATCAAAAACCACTACAAATCCAATACATCTTAATATAGTGGTTTTGGTGCATACATAGAAACATAGAATTTGACGGCAGAAAAGAACCATTTGGTCCACATAGTCTGCTCAATTTTCTCAATACTTTCATTACAGGGAGTGCAGAATTATTAGGCAAGTTGTATTTTTGAGGATTCATTTTATTATTGAACAACAACCATGTTCTCAATGAACCCAAAAAACTCATTAATATCAAAGCTGAATATTTTTGGAAGTAGTTTTTAGTTTGTTTTTAGTTATAGCTATGTTAGGGGATATCTGTGTGTGCAGGTGACTATTACTGTGCATAATTATTAGGCAACTTAACAAAAAACAAATATATACCCATTTCAATTATTTATTATTACCAGTGAAACCAATATAACATCTCAACATTCACAAATATACATTTCTGACATTCAAAAACAAAACAAAAACAAATCAGTGACCAATATAGCCGCCTTTCTTTGCAAGGACACTCAAAAGCCTGCCATCCATGGATTCTGTCAGTGTTTTGATCTGTTCACCATCAACATTGCGTGCAGCAGTAACCACAGCCTCCCAGACACTGTTCAGAGAGGTGTACTGTTTTCCCTCCTTGTAAATCTCACATTTGATGATGGACCACAGGTTCTCAATGGGGTTCAGATCAGGTGAACAAGGAGGCTATGTCATTAGATTTTCTTCTTTTATACCCTTTCTTGCCAGCCATGCTGTGGAGTACTTGGACGCGTGTGATGGAGCATTGTCCTGCATGAAAATCATGTTTTTCTTGAAGGATGCAGACTTCTTCCTGTACCACTGCTTGAAGAATGTGTCTTCCAGGAACTGGCAGTAGGATTGGGAGTTGAGCTTGACTACATCCTCAACCCGAAAAGGCCCCACAAGCTCATCTTTGATGATACCAGCCCAAACCAGTACTCCACCTCCACCTTGCTGGCGCCTGAGTCGGACTGGAGCTCTCTGCCCTTTACCAATCCAGCCACGGGCCCATCCATCTGGCCCATCAAGACTCACTCTCATTTTATCAGTCCATAAAACCTTAGAAAAATCAGTCTTGAGATATTTCTTGGCCCAGTCTTGACGTTTCAGCTTGTGTGTCTTGTTCAGTGGTGGTCGTCTTTCAGCCTTTCTTACCTTGGCCATGTCTCTGAGTATTGCACACTTGTGCTTTTGGGCACTCCAGTGATGTTGCAGCTCTGAAATATGGCCAAACTGGTGGCAAGTGGTATCGTGGCAGCTGCACGCTTGACTTTTCTCAGTTCATGGGCAGTTATTTTGCGCCTTGGTTTTTCCACACGCTTCTTGCGACCCTGTTGACTATTTTGAATGAAACGCTTGATTGTTCGATGATCACGCTTCAGAAGCTTTGTAATTTTAAGAGTGCTGCATCCCTCTGCAAGATATCTCACTATTTTTGACTTTTCTGAGCCTGTCAAGTCCTTCTTTGACCCATTTTGCCAAAGGAAAGGAAGTTGCCTAATAATTATGCACACCTGATATAGGGTGTTGATGTCATTAGACCACACCCCTTCTCATTACAGAGATGCACATCACCTAATATGCTTAATTGGTAGTAGGCTTTCGAGCCTATACAGATTGGAGTAAGACAACATGCATAAAGAGGATGATGTGGTCAAAATACTCATTTGCCTAATAATTCTGCACTCCCTGTAGTCCCTGGCCTTATCTTATAGTTAGGATAGCCTTATGCCTATCCTACCCATGCTTATACTCCTTTACTGTGCTAATCTTTACTGTAACAGACCGTTTCAGCACAAAAGAGGTTAAAACCGTTTAGGCGATCGTCCCCTTTTCAGAGATGCAGGCACAGCTACCGTAGAACACCAAACTCACGAACCGCCAATAAGGGAATGCTCCAATCTCCCGAACTGCATACAATATAGCACTCCAAACACACGAGCTGGAACCATACGAATCGCTGCTAGCAGACGAATAGGAAAAGCACCCAAGCGGCTTACACTCCTAGCAATCAGTCTCTATCAGCATACAGTAAATCCCCCCAAAGACGAGACAAGGCTCCGTGTTGAGGGTCAAGCAGTGGTCTGTTTACTGAGGGCTACCTGCCCAGTATTTATGCAGGTCTCCCACCTGGTGGACACTCCCCTAGGGGACCAAATGGGAGACTGTGACAAAAGACAGACAAGTAGACAAATAGGACACACAGTCACATTATATTCCCACAATGCATCCTGGCTACCTCCCCTCTGCCCTGGAGATAATTGAGAAGTAATTCAATTATCTCCCAGGACAAAGGCAAATCGCCATTATGCATGTGGGAATACTAAAACATGAATTACTGTTAAAATACAATATGTGACACACGTTACAATAAAACTATACATTTAACATGTCCCCAGATAGCTAAGGTCTGAGCGCACATTATTAAGCGAATGGCGCTCAGACCACATGAATACAGTTTAATCGCCGTGGAGCCAAAGTCTTTAATTCCACGAACAGGCTCCATGGCAGGCTATCTGGGTACTTTCACACCGAATACAATTGCAACACTAGAAGTCCCGAACGCTCCGTTGTTCGGTTCCCGAACCGGTTGTCAGACTTCCAGCCTCAGCGGGGCTTGGAAGACAAAAGTGTCCGCTTTTCTTGTCCTGCCGCTGGGTAGAACAAGCGCTGGCTACCCGGGGAGCTTCCATAACACCGCCATCGTGTGGCAGCTAGGTGTAACCGCGACCACCCAGTAATTGTCAATTAAGCTGCGCTTAACCGCAGCTTCTGGGAGGCTAATTGCTGGCACACTCCAGCTCCCAGGTGGTCCAGTCATTCGTGCGGTTGTTCGGTAGATTGAATCTACCGAACACCGGGCAGAAAAGCACGAATAGGTCTTTTCTGTAGGGGAAACAAAGTCTTTTAACATGGGGCCATAATCCAAAGGCAGCAGGCGAGCAACCAGGCTTCTCCAATGCAATGTGGCGAGATTGGTCTCGTCACATTTACCACTTCAGCTGGAAGGCTAGTCCATGCATCCAGTACCCTCTCAGTAAAGTAATATTAGTGATGATTAGTGATGTCCCGAACGGTTCGCCGAACGGTTCGCCACGGACGGCGAACATATGCCCCCTATGTCATCATTGAGTAAACTTTGACCCTGTACCTCACAGTTAGCAGACACATTCCAGCCAATCAGCAGCAGACCCTCCCTACCAGACCCTCCCACCTCCTGGACAGCATCCATTTTATATTCATTGTGAAGCTGCATTCTTAGTGAGCTGTCCAGGAGGTGGGAGGGTCTGGGAGGGAGGGTCTGCTGCTGATTGGCTGGAATGTGTCTGCTGACTATGAGGTACAGGGTCAAAGTTTACTCAATGATGACGAATAGGGGGCGGACCGAACAGCGCATATGTTCACCGTCCGTGGCGAACCGTTCGGCGAACCGTTCGGCACATCACTATTCCTGATATTATGTTTAAACCTTTGCCCCTCTAATTTAAGACTATGTCCTCTTGTTGTGGTAGTTATTCTTCTTTTAAATACAGTCTCCTCCTTTACTGTGTTGATTCCCTTTATGTATTTAAATGTTTGTATCATATCCCCCCCGTCTCATCTTTCATCCAAGCTATACATGTTAAGTTCGTTTAACCTTTCTTAGTAAGTTTTATCCTGCAATCCATGAACCAGTTTAGTAGCCCTTCTCTGAACTCTCTCTAAAGTATCAATATCCTTCTGGAGATACGGTCTCCAGTACTGCGTACAATACTCGAAGTGAGGTCTCACCAGTGTTCTGTACAATGGCATGAGCAGTTGAGCACATCCCTCTTTCTACTGCTAATACCTCTCCCTATACAACCAAGCATTCTGCTAGCATTTCCTGCTGCTCTATTACATTGTCTGCCTACCTTTAAGTCATCAGAAATAATCACCCCTAAATCTCTTTCCTCAGATGTTGAGGTTAGGACTCTATTAAATATTCTGTACTCTGCCCTTGGGTTTTTTTACGTCCAATATGCATTTTCTTGCACTTATCCACATTAAATGTCTGTTGCCACAACTCTGACCATTTTTCTAGTTTACCTAAATCATTTGCCATTTGGCTTATCCCTCCTGGAACATCAACCCTGTTACATATCTTAGTATCATCAGAAAAAAAGACATACCTTACCATCAAGATCTTCTACAATATCACTAATAAAAATATTAAAGAGAATGGGTCCAAGTACCCTGAGGTACCCCACTGGTGACAAGCCCATGCTTCGAATATACTCCATTGACTACAACCCTCTGTTGCCTGTCACTCAGCCACTGCTTTACCCATTCTACAAAACTTCACACTCTCCAAAGAAGAATGGGGGTTAATGGAGCAGGCTATAATGCTTTTGTGTCACTGGCTCTGCCTCAAAGGGGCAGACCAAGGACAACCCAAATTACTGTCAAATTATTGTCAAATGAATATTGGACTCTTTATTGTCCAAAGTTTGAATGAATGATACAGGCTACTGACACAGACTTGGGACACAAGTACGAAGGTTTCACATTTTAGGACTACTACAAGCCTGTGTCAGCCAAAGCAGCAGCAGCTCTGGTCAAATTTAATATACGAATCAACTGGAGCCAATTGGATACAGAACTGTTCTGCAGACATTTTGCGGTCTTGAAACCTCTGACTTGCGCTGTATGTTCATCCACCTCCCACTCCACCGTTCTATTTCCTGTGCTTTTCCAAGTTTCTTTTTCAAACCAGAACAAGGTTTGAAGGATAAGCTGTGATGGCACATCATGTTCCTGGGCAAACACAGATCTGCAATAATCTTAACACAGGCACCGGCAGTTTCAGTGTCTGCAGATTATTGCATGTCTGCTCACAATGCTCTAGGGCACATGACAGGCCAATGTGCCATTCACAAATGTACCCAAAACAATGACTGACTGAGGTCAATATTAATAATCTGTCATATTACTTATGCTCTCACCCCTCTCCTCACTTGGTAGAATTCCTGGTTCACATTTTTTCTTATGGTTTCCATAATTGGATTGTGGCACTCCCTGTAGGCATGCTAGAATGCCCTCTTGACTGCATTTAATGATCTCCTCACTGTTGACACTCTAATTTCTGAAGAAATCCACCAAAGTTTCATGTTGGGTCCTTCCCCCACCCTTTTCATACTGGAGAACAAACCCCATTCACATATCCATCAGCAAATACTCTAATAAAAAACGCATGATCACTGACCTATCGGCTCCTTATTCTTCATCCACTCCAAGCTTGAACTCTCTGACCCTATGCCCTGAATTTACTCTCCACTATGCCTGTGGATAGTGCCATACAGGCAATCATGAAAGCTGGCAGGGCCACATGGCCCAGTATAATATCCAAAATGAATAATATCCAAAATTGCACACATTGATATTGCTAATACTGAAGTATGAACTGCGTTGTATGCTGAAGTTAGAAGCTGGTGGTGCACTTAACTGAGCTCTATAAAGAGAAAGGCATTGTATGGACATTTTGCAGAAATGTATGCATATTCTCTCTTTGAGAACCATTTAATTGAGTAACAGTCATCAAGCTTGATGACCTAAAGGAACTGTATAGGTAAAAAAATATGCATGCCCCCCCACCCCCAACAGTAAAACTAGTGTCACTTAATGTTTCTTTCCCTAAATAGTGAAAAAATGGCACACACCCCCAATGGCACACACCCCAATGCCTGCCCAAGAATTACTCAACCTAAGTTACACTACAGACACAGTATTCAGACACTAGAACTCACATATAACATCTCACACACACACATACACAAACATTTCCTCACCACATTAGATATCATATAATGTCATGTTTATTATAAATAAATATGGATACAGACAAACTCATGAATACCTATAGAGCTTTGTCTTCTCTCTCTCTCTCTTTCTCTCAAAGTTAATTAACAGAAACTGGCAGAGAAGGGTTTAACAAGGGGTAGGGAGGTTGGCTGACAGGGAAGGGGTTAATGGTAGGTAGCGAGGTTGGCTGACAGGGCAAGCAGGGAATGGGTTAACAGTAGGTAGTAAGGTTGACTGGAGGGGAAGTGGGTAGAGAGGGAGGTTAGCTGACAGGGGCTGGAAAATAATGTATTACTTGCATTACCGGGAGAGAGGTAGGTAGGGCGGGGGAGAGAGGAGCACATATGGCAGTCTCTACTACATAAGACATGCCTCAATTCCATTGGCTGCAAAAGGTACATTTCCTTCAGAAACTGTGAATCAGGAACAGTTATAAACCTGAGAGGGGGTGGCTAAGGAGGTTGGGTCACTCTACTGAAAACAGCAAAACATTTTACAGCACTGCAGAAAAACTACACAGAATTGAAAGAAAAGAAACTAACCACAGATGTTTTGAGCTTATTAGCTTTAATTTAAGATCAACTTGCTTAGCTGCCTGAAGTGTCCCTTTAAACAAGGGCAGATTAGCTGCAGCAAGGAGTCTGTTTCAGTGTTGTATTAATTGTGATTTGTATTTATTTATTTTTTAAAGAAGAGGGTCCATAAGTTTAATCTGGTAAAGTAGCATCATGGAGAGATTTTTTTTTACTACAATGTTTCTTTAAAGGGAAGCTGTAGACACCAAGATCACTTCAGCTTAATAAAGTGGTCTGATTGCAGTGTCCCTTTTGCACCTAGTGCTGCATTGTTAAATATCGCAGTTCCAGAGAAACTGCAATGGTTACATTGCAGCACTAAGTCAGCCTCTAGAGCAGGCATAGACAACCTCCGGCACTCCAGATGTTTTGGATTACACCTCCCATGATGCTTTGTCATTATTATGGGTGTAAAAGCATTATGGGAGATGTAGTCCACAACATCTGGAGTGCCGACGGTTGCCTATCTCTGCTCTAGTGGCTGTCTACCAGACAGCCACTAGAGCGCTTTCTGAATGAGGACACCCAGCGTCAGATTTTTATCCCATAGGAAAGCATTCAATGCTTTCCCATGGGGAGGTCTAATGAACATCGAATGCGGCATTGGGCGTATATATGGGCATTAGCGTCTTCTCTTTGGGGGATGTCAGAGGTTACAGAGCTGGTATTAGGCAAGTAAATAAAGGTTTTTTTTTACACACGCAGGTGGGTGCGAGGGAGGAGAGGTAGAGGGAGCGATAGTGCCAGGAATACAGCTTTGTATTCCTGGCACTATAGTATCCCTTTAATCTCGTATGCGTAAGTTCCTAAATTACCTCTTTCTTCCTGTTAACATTTTTAATAGTTTGTATCTTATTTGCTGTTGTAAACCTACAATAAAACTGTAAAGTGCTGTGTAACGTTACATAAATGCAAAAAGATACCAGTGTTATTTCCTAGTTGTTTACCTTTAAGACTACAAAACAGTTAAAATAAATAGACACTGAATTGTATAGTTATGTAAAGGAATCCTTCAAAATAATTTGCAATAAACATTCGATCACGTAAACCTCACCTGCTCCCCGACAGTAAAGTGGTTAAATCCAGCATTTAAAATGCAGATAAAGGAGACGATAGCCTGGAATATTGAAGGGAACACATTGTTGAATGGCAAAACCAACCCTATTGAAGAGCCACCTGTGGAGCGGCAACCACATGTAATAAACTTAATGTCTGGAGGAATCTGCTAATTGGATGTCATGTGTTTCTGAAAGAATATTAAACAGATGTTTGAATTTAGTCTCTGTAATGTGACTTGTAAACAAAATCACAAAATAAAACGACACAGCGTGAAGCTCTCAGAATAAAGCAGCATACATGGATTCAACACATTGGAAAGTATATAGGGTTATTTATAAAACTCCAAAAAACACACCCTATGACTTTTAACCCTTTAACTGCTGGTAGTGGCAGACATTCATCTGAAAATGTACTATAGGAAAACCTAAAACAGAAGCTTTAAAAGGGTGACCCACATGAAGGACAATCCAATCTTTGGCATCCCATGTGGCTTGTTATCACTAATATAAGTTGGGATTGGTTTGCTGGCTTGACAGGTCACAAGCCAGTTATAAAGTCTTCTGGGTCATAGAGGATCTTTAACCACCATCAGAATGTATCTAACTTTGGTAGTCTAGTGAGGAAGAGGAGATAGATTTGTAACCCCAATGGCACAGTTTTATAATTTATGTTCCAGTCAGTGGTGTATTTAGGATTTGTTCTGCCCTAGGCAGGACGGTGCTCGGACACCCCCCCTCCTAATTTAAATTTTCCCTACCCCTTCCAGTCAAGGCCACACTTTGACTGACGGACGCACACACTCACTGATAGATGCATACACTCATTGACAGACACACACTCTTATATACACTGACAAACAATGACAAACACACACT